TGATGTCTTATGAAAGATTTCTTCGCATAGATATTATGCTACTACTTTCAGACATAAATTGCAAATTTGCTATATTATCAATATCATTATTAATATCTAATGAAGATAGCGTATTTTCTCTTTGATATGTATATAAAATGTATAAATTGTTATCTGTTCCAAAATATTTTTTTCAAATTTTTTTTGCTTTTCTTCGGAAAGTTTTATACAAAGTTTTATAATATCAACGCGGGAAATTAAGTAAAAGTGATAAATAAAATAGGAAAAATATGTATGGGATGCGCAATCATTCTAAAAATATTCATTTATCTCGGATGACAGATAGGCAGAAAAGGAAAAGGATGAATCTGGATAAAAAGATTACTAACATAAGAGAAGCTGATAATATGGCTGATCAGGAGAGTAGAACGGCTCCCCCTCCCCCTCCTCTCCCGTTGCGGAAAGATTACGAAAGTCGGTAGTCTCGCGATAACGACGCTTCGCATCGGGGATCTTCTGGTGTGAAACGGTAAATGTGCGATGTTAATGATTACTCGGTTTATTATGTGAGCGCAATTTCGACGTCATCCATACGGAGAACAGAAAAAAATTTTATTAAAAAGGATTAATTTTAAATTTATGTTAAATAGTCTCGTTAAAGGCGATCTATTTATGTGATTGATAACTAGAGTATTTTCCTACACATGATATACATTTCGGGATCCCGTTACTAGCTCGTAAGTCGACCTCGCGCCCTCATTCGCGAACCGGTGAATTCGACAGACCGGAAAATTGAGGCTTTCCTTCGCGCGGTGGTCACCCTCGCTTCCGGCGTGCCACCTGTGACACGAGAGAGGGATCGTCGGACAAAAGAGAAAAAAATACGGAAATTCGACGGTGCATTTTTCGTACGCGCTCATAAGCGTCCACTTAGCGCTAAATGCGGATCCGTTTAGCATTGCTTCGCGTCCAAGTGATAAACCTTAGAAGCAGACAGTCAGATATGAAGTTAAATGCAATGCTAACTGGAGCTCCGTTGCTAAATGGACTGTCGGATGTTTTTTTTTATTTTTATTTTTTTAATTTTTAAATCGCATTTAATGTAAATTACAAATAAGAAAATTCTCTATTTAATAATGATAGATTAACGACTTAATTTTATCATAAAATCATAAAACGCGGTAATCATCATCATATCCATCACATGAAATGCATATGTTTTACTTACTACCGGATAAAAAATGCATAAAGACATGACGAGACGATGAGTCTGCTCGTGCAGAAATAATTCATGCGGATCCGTTTAGCATTGCTTCGCGTCCAAGTGATAAACCTTAGAAGCAGACAGTCAGATATGGAGTTAAATGCAATGCTAACTGGACTACGTTGCTAAATGGACTGTCGGATGTTTTTTTTTATTTTTATTTTTTTAATTTTTAAATCGCATTTAATGTAAATTACAAATAAGAAAATTCTCTATTTAATAATGATAGATTAACGACTTAATTTTATCATAAATAATATTTACGCGGTAATCATCATCATATCCATCACATGAAATGCATATGTTTTACTTACTACCGGATAAAAAATGCATAAAGACATGACGAGACGATGAGTCTGCTCGTGCAGAAATAATTCATATCGAGTAGCCGTTACAAAGTAGATACAATTTCCCAGAAATGGCAGCGAGTTATTCTTCGCGTGCAAAACTAAAACCATAATATAAAAGAACCACCTTTCTCGTGCGGCGCCACAATGGGGCGACTTTATCCGTTATGTGTCGTAGTGAAGGATACCATTCGCAAACACGACAACGAGTCTATCATTGAAGGATCTTGACACAATATACATATATATAATTCGCAATATTGCAAACCTTATATAACAATTATTCCGTTTTTATATTATTAAGTATGCTAGAATTTCAATCTCGTTAAAGCAAAACATCCTATATTAAAAAAGAAAATTAAAATTACAGTTTCTGCGACGTTGCTACTTAACAAAATAGTTGCAACATATAATAAATCTACGAAACATGAGGAATAAAAAGTAAAACGGTTTAAATCTTGAAATCCGTTTCAATATACAGAGTAACTATTTTCTCGGAACGGAACATTCTTGTTGAAAATCACATTCCAAGCATGAAACCGAGTAAATAAACTCAATGAGTGTTTGGTTTAGTCAAGAAGGCATTGATGACATATTTATATTGCATGTCATACCATGTGTTTTCAAGCCAAAAAATGTCAACCGGAAATAGATGTATTTTAAAATATTTGTATGAATGTGTTTATGTATGGATGCGCGTTAGTTTTCTTGTGTCAATGTTATTCGCGATCATATTATATCAGGTCTACCGGAAAGTTCTGTCCGTTTTTGGAATAAAACAAAATACAAATTTTTATTACCTTCAATAAACTTTATTAAATAATGTAATTGCCATTATTCGGAGAAGTATTGTCAGCAACTGGATAATTTAAATACAGCAGTCCAAGAAAAGAGGCCGGCGATGTTCAATAGGAAGAACATCATACTGCATCATGATAATGCCAGGCCACATGCTGCTTTGGATACTCGTCAAAAAATTGCAGAACTAGGCTGGAAAATTCTGTCGCATCCACCATATTCCCCGGACTTAGCACCCACCGACTATCACTTGTTTTTGTCCTTACAAAATTTTTTGAGGGGCAAAAAATTCAAAAATGAAGAAGATATCAAACAAGCACTGGTTCAATTTTTCGCATCAAAAGATAAAACATTTTTCGAAAAAGGGATATACAAATTGCCCTCACGCTGGCAAGAAATCATTAATAATAATGGCAATTACACTATTTAATAAAGTTTATTGACGGTAATAAAAATTTGTATTTTGTTTTATTCCAAAAACGGACAGAACTTTCCGGTAGACCTAATATATCAATATGGATTTGAGGTTTAAATCTCTTTATCGTCTTAACTTCAGCTTGCTCATTTTATAGCTTTATCGGCTGTTGTGATTTGTTTGTTACATAGAATATCTTTCAACAACCGCAATCTTCAACATTCTTAGGATTTTAATTACTAAGAATGTGATAAAAAATATAAATTTATGGAACAATGATAAACTGTACAATCGATTGCAACAAATGCTTATTATTAAACGCATCCTGCGAGACACAGTCACGGTGCGCGACCTTGCAATATCCGTTGCGTGAAATTTATTTATAGAAATTTGGGTGCGGGATCCCGGATGACAAGGGAAATACGCATACGTGAACGTGAAAGCGGTCAGGCGTTGCTATGCGCTTTTTAATAGAAGGAAATATATGTTCCACATCTTTAACTTCGATCACATTTATTAGCGTCAGCACGCTCAGTCTTTAAAAAAAAAAAGCGATGTTATTTCTAAAAATATGTTATTTGCAGCTTTTTTATCCCAGATCTTTAATTATCTTTTATTCACAAAAACTGGACGTTTCTTCTAAAAAACTGTAGTCTTAAATAATTTTTTTATACGCAGTCAGATACAGAAAATAATATTGAAAACTTATAAATGGAGTGAATGAATCATTCGCTGTCTGCATAGCAGATGTCAGGCGAGATTATCATAATAGATACATGTAACGCTTATTAATTATATTGATCGTTAGAGGAAAACGAAATCCGTAGGCCCCTCAACATCGTATGAGTAGGCGTTGCGCACGTGCGTGTACACACTTTACTGATGCGGTAGACGGCCGAGCCACGCGACTGCACTTGAAAACATTCGAGGTCCAAATATAGTAGCACATATGCACCGACGAGTTTATAGCGAGAGATTGATGCCTCAAATAATCGATGTACGGAATTAAGGGATTTAGAAGAGAGATCTTCAAGAAGCGAAGACCATTTCACTTAAATTAGTACCGAGATAACAGAGCGAATTAATATCTCGAAGCGTTGTAAATCATAACAGAATTTTTCGCGTCTCTCTTCGACTTGTTTTAAATAAAATTGTATAATTAATTGAAATTTAATAACCGCGAAGTATTTTATACTATTCTTGAATTACAGAAACTTTAAGTGTGATATACATATGTGTAAAAAATATTTTTAATTTTAAATCGACAATATGTCTGTATCTTTCTCTACAACTTATTAATTTAATCCACTCTTTAAAAGGGCAAATAATAATTTATAATTCTTACCCTTGTCGCTTCGCGATTCGTACTTAAAATAATAAATGATCGTTCATCTATAATAGCAGTTTGAAGCATGACGCTGCCCTGAGACAGCTGGCCTCGAAGTGTAGTAGAAGAGACAGAGCATCGCTACAAGTTATCGCCTTGAACGCATTCAAGTCTTAAGATTTCAAGACGCACAGGGGTGGCGTTACTCTAAAAATAATAATCTGTTGCGTTTTTTTTTCTGAGAGTGGAAGAGAGAGAGAGAGAGAGAGAGCGAGACAGAAAAAGAGTCTGAGCTCCAGAGAGGACTCCGGACAAACGTCTGGCGACAGCGACAACCGTGCATCGTCATCCGGTCGCTATCGTTTCTTTGTCCTGTCGAAATTGACCTTGATTTCACTGCATGCGCTCCTCATCGTTTTGAAATCGAACGATTACCTTGACTTTCAACTCTTTGACTTTAAAGCTCGGAGTCTAAAAAAAATGTCGTGTGTAGTAGTTAAATATATGTTCTTTATAACTAAACTCTATATTTATTTATTTCTTTTTCCAAAAGATGAATTCGTTATACTTATCACACTTTAAATACAGGATAAATACAGAAAATATAGCTGAGTAGAATAGAACTGCTATTAAAAACTACTATAAAACGATGATTTGTTTCTTTTAGTTATACTTCCTGTTTTCACTGACTGTTTTTTCTTTCTCCATAGAAAAATAAACCAAGAGGCAGCTGAAAGAAATATAGTTAATATAGTCACATCTCACAATACTTTAAATACGAAGATGTGGATATATTGATATATGATTAAAAAGAATCGATTTCTTGATATTTTGAACGCGTAACTATTTAATTTGTTTGATCGGTTTCAGGACGACGAAACGAAACCGACAGAGTCCACAGATGCGGAATCAGCCCCCGTGGTGACAAAGGAGAGCGAGCAGAATACCGCGGAAAAACCTACCACACCTGGCAAAGATTCTAAGGAGAAAGAAGGACGAAAAGGAATTCTGGATGCTATTCGAATACCTTTGGTATCGTCCGTTTTCTCCAAAAAGAAGAAAGTAAGTGTCCGTCGCGAAAAAATATCTTATATTTTATCAGAGAGTATTTTCATAAATCTTTAAAGAAAGATTTATTAAAATATTTGGAAGTTTAATTAGTTTTAGATAGGAACTCAATAATATCTAGAGAGAAAGAGAACCAATTATAAAGAATAAAAGAAAGTATAAAAGAAAAAAAAAGTTTATACATAAATTAGATAGAGATAAATATAGAGACGTGTAGTGTGTGTGTGTGTGTGTGTATGTGTGGTATTAATTATATATTATTAAAATAATAAGATATATTAAAATAATTAAAATTGTAAATTAAAATAAATATTGAAATAATTATCTCATCTATATGCTTCTCTAAGTTATTATAATTGTATTTTCCTTTACAAGGAAGCTGACGCTGAATTAGGACCGATTGGCGCCGCGGGATTAGCGAGCGTTGAGACTCTCGATGACGGTGCTGCCGATAAGAATACTATCGCCAACGAAGATGGTATGGAAACCGTACGTCTCGACGGAGAGGATGGAGCTGTCAGTGCCGAACCACCGAAGCATCCCCTGGTGGTTTGCATATCGACGCTCAGAAGGCACATGGTTTTGTCAGGTAAAAAAAAAGGATAGATAGATTTTATTGCAACATATATTCTCGACATATATTCAATATATTAATCGTATTACTTGAAATTGTGACGATAGTGGTGATCCTACTGATCCTGCTCAGCGTTATCATCATCGTTGGCATTGCCTGCGCCGGACCTAGGAGAATGATGCACACTCAGCCTTTGAAGGACGGCAAATACGTCGAGGCGGTGACATCGTGCGGATTTTTGCAGGGCATTTTGGAGGACGGCGCCTATGCGTTCCGCGGTATTCCCTACGCAATGCCGCCGGTCGGCAACCGTCGCTGGCAATCGCCCGAATCCTTGAGCCGTATCGAGCATTGCTGGAACGGCACTTATCTGGCGCACAACTCCTCCGAGAACTGCTGGCAGCGTGAGCCAGCAGGTCGTAGCACATACGGCGCGGAAGATTGCCTCTATCTCGATGTGTTTACTCCGGCAGTCCGCTACGGCTCTCCATTGCCCGTGGTTGTTATGATCGGCGCCGAGACATTGAGCGGTGGTTCACCCGGAGTAATGCAACCCTCAGCCAAGCTAGCGCGCGTTCGCGACATGGTGTTCGTGCGGCCAAACTTCCGGTAGGATATATTCCACGTATATTTTTCCATCAAAAAAATTTTTTTTTTTTTTTTTATGAAAATATTCTTAAGGATTTCACATCACAACATACATTTTAATAAAATAATATAGTTTTTAATAGTGTGAATTTTATTCGATTTAGTTCATAGTTAATACGAGCCTCAAGACGATTAAAAGAATACTTCTAATTAAATCACAAAGATGCTCATTTTTACATTTGTTAAATTTTTAGTTTGGGAGTTTTCGGATTCTTGGCAGCCGAGCCTCTCACCAGAGCCACTCATCCCCCGACCTCAGGTAACTACGGATTGTCGGATATCATAGCGGCACTTCAGTGGGTGCAATTGAATATCGAACATTTTGGCGGCAATAAAACGTCCGTCACTCTTTGGGGACATCGGGCAGGCGGCACTCTAGTGACGACGCTAATCGGCTCCCGCCGTGCCAAAAACCTCTTCTCGAAGATATGGATATCCAGCGGTAGCGCAATTTTTCCGGGCAAAGAATTAAACAGATCCGAAACTATGAGCAAAAACTTTCTTGAAACGATTCGATGTAGCGACGCCAATTGTTTAAGAAGCAAAAGCGCCGTGGAACTTATGGACGCCGTACCAGAGATGTGGTATATGGGTAATGTGAACTTGCCTGAAACAAGAGAAACCGAAATCTATAAGGATAAAAGACACGAGTGGCTCGTTCTGGACGGTACTATTCTTCAAGAACACGTCGGTCATATCCTGGTGCAGGACAAACATTTGGTAAAAGTAGTGATGGGTACTACCGCGCACTCTGGTACACCACCGCGATTTTTATCGCCGAACATTACCCTTAATGCAACACAAGTGGAGAAATACGTACGAGAATCCCTGCTCGGAACTTTGAGCTTGGCGGAGGAAGCTCTCAAGTAAGCGATCATAATATTATGATTAAAAATCGCGATTTAAAATCTCTGTTTATTTATTTAGAGCGATAAATATTTTAATTCTTCAATTTTTATAAAACAATAAATTGCGTCACAATTAAATCACGTTATATGTACTCTATCTTCCAGACGCTACAACGCCACATTGAAAGGACTGGTTACAATGATTTCCGACATTCGTGTAGTCTGTCCGTTGCTGACAGTTGCCAGGATGAGGACCGATATACCGTTTTACGTAGCCACTCAACCTCGCCGTGGATACTTGGCCGATCCCGATAGCGATGCTGCGGCCATTCTAGGGACTTATGCCGCTGTCACACCTGAAGAAAAGAGACATGTATCAGCTATGCAACAATTATTCAATCATTACGTGTGGCATGGCGAGGTCGCGCAAGCTGATCCATCGGGCGCGAAACGAGTCCTAGTTGTTGGTCAAGATACGCTGCTCGAACAAGATTATCCTAATTGCGATTTCTGGATAAAGAAAAATATAGTACCTTTGTACGGTCGAGTCGATTGAAAAGATTCTCATCGCTGTGTAGTCTCCGTGTTAAGATCTGAAAGCTTGTTTCCCGAATGTAAACGCGCGCATGTTGAATTTTCCGGGGACAAGATTCTCTCACGGCACAGATATGTACTTTGACTACTTAAATAGATCGATACGATAAGTGTTCTATGAGATTACGCGGATTAACGATTAAACTTAATGATCATGCCTTTGTGGTGCGACGTATAATAGTAGTACCTGTCGAAACATGACAATTAATTAATATAAAAGCTAAAATATAAAATAGCAATTAAAAAAAAAGAAATTTATATGTAGATATTTGTGTATGCCGACGTATGAATTCGTTCTCAGTGCTAAAGAAATAACGGTAATATTTTACAAAATGTTTAGCGATGAGAAATGAATATTGTTCGTTATATCCGTGATCCGAGATACGTGCGTTCGACCACAAGGCACGTGGATTATTATGTATGTGTATAAATGTGAATCAAATTGTAATATATTGAGTATAAGAACAGAGAAGAGTGTGACGAAGAAGACGTGCAGAGAAACTACAAACATGTAGCTTAAGAAAAGGGAAAAAGATTGATAATGACATATTATACAATGATATTCTTGCAAGATGTGTAAGACCAACAAATGGGTGCGAAAAGGTAGAATGGTAAAACAAGAAGTAGCATATACCTTCAGCCTTACAAGATGTTTGGATCAATTGTATTTTGAAGAAAACTTTCTGAAATTTGAATGGAGGACTGACACATTTTGATACAATCAAGAATTTAATCGAAAACTTTGCATGTAATAATAAAATGCAAAGTATCTTATTCTTTGTATGCCTCTTCGTATCCAACTCTCGTAGATAACATAAAATAACCTTGAAAAGTGTAACAATGTAAAGTTGTGAATGTAGATTATCGGCATATTATCGCAGGAACGACTTTGCATCTTTATGCATAATGGACCATGCTCTTTTGCGCATGCTATAAAAAATATTTTTAGGTCAGAAGTGTCTGTTTAGGAAGAAACATAGTACGGGGCACATATGCATTTTATCGCGTTTGTGGAAGCAAGCTTATCTCTAACCTTTTTTATTAACAGCTTTTTATACGAAATTTTTATTATGGATATTTTTTATATGCATAATACTTAGTTCGAGGAAAATATAGTTCCTTTGTATAACAAAGGACCTGCAGAGACTGAATGCATATAGAGTATTCAGCTATCCAGTTAAGAAATCCTCAAAGAGACTTTCTATCTTATTCAGACTGAAGCTGCCAAATTTGATATTTTTTATATCGTATATTATCTACTTGGATAATAAAGGTTTTTTACTATATAGAGAATATTTGGACCCAACGCATGCCTCATGTATGCGATCGATAATTTTTCTGCACGCCTCTCTTCCGTAAACGCGATTCATGTTCCAAAAATGACAAGTGATCTTGATAATTTTTTTTAATTAAAAGATCACTCATATACGATTATGTATTATGACTATATTACTCAATGTGTTATTAAGTCATTTAATTTATTTTCACACTAATATATGTGATAAAGTAGCATTTACTCAAAAAACCCCTGCATAAGTTGTTTTATTTTATATATAGATAGATTAGATCATATATAATTAATTAATATTTTGTATTTCATATTACACACATGCAAACAGAGAACAACAGTATCGGTGATAAACGCCCGTAATGACATATATACTGACTGAATCAATTCAAGTAACTCAGAATAAAGTTTCGAAAGAATATTGCTAGTATATTTTTATTTATACGTGGGTATAAGATAAATATATATATATTAAATAAAAATCTCCTAAATATATCTGGCAACGAAACCATATAATAACAAGCGTTGTATTCCGTAATAAAATAAAGAAAAAAAGAAAAAAAAATTTCTCAGAATATAGAATGTGCATAGAATTTTATAGATATTTTGGATATTTGAACCGCTTCTTGCTCTGCCCGTAATTCTTTGTACGCAATTGTACAGGATCTGTTATCTGTTCGAGCAAATAATTTATGTACTGTCAGATATACATTATGTATTCTCATAGGATGTGACATTATACGCGCTTCGCCCATGGCTAAATAGTATCTATGCGCAAAATTAATCTTGATGGCTTTATACTCTTGAATGTTAGCAAAATGAACTGAATTAAATTGTGTGCTCCATCTTTACAAAATCTTTATATAAATGCTCGTATATTTCATATTCTATATTCTTTTTATTGGCTTCATTCGCGGACAAACTACAAATGATATACGTAGACGTAGATCGTTAATATTTGCAAATCTAAATTCTTGATTTTCGATGTATTTTCTCGATTATTCTTTTCTCAATTTTTGAATATTTTCAATTTGAAATATCATATATAATGCACATTTTTCTCGTATGTTTTATTTCTTTAGTAATTTTTGAGAGGATGGCAGTCTGTCGCCGTAAGATAAACATACAATTATTCTTAAATGGACTTATCGCATTAATTACAATGTAAAATGATAGAATTCAATCATATATATATATATATATATGATTTTAATTCGTCATCGATACATAGCAGATTCGTCGATTTATTTGTATGCGGCAGTATTTTTATATATTGTGAATTAATTTTAAGTATAGAGCGCAAAGTTTTTATTTTTATGTATGTATTGTCAGGGCCTCGTACTATCGAGAAACATATATGTGGAAAAAATGTTATCAAGACTGATTTGAATCTTGTACGTATTTGCATTTTTGGAAAAAAACATCTATTTGAATATATAAGCCGCCGCATCGAGGCTATTTGCACATCATTGTATTAATGCAATGTGCATTTGATATTCTGATCGTATTTTTCTTCATATCAATCACGCTGTAATACAATTTTATACTGTATCCACGGTACCGTCAATAAAGTCATATATAAAACAGTATTTAATCATATTAAAATGTATAAAACACTACTATAACAAATCTAGAATAATTGGTCCTGTCTTAAATCTAAATCTTTATGATATTGGATTTAAATAAATGTAAAAAGATTAGTGTGTGTGTGTGTGTGTTCTTTGATCATAAATATATACACAAATATATATATAAATTTAATCATTATAAAACACTACTATAACAAATCTAGAATAATTGGTCCTGTCTTAAATCTAAATCTTTATGATATTGGATTTAAATAAATTAAATAAATTTAGTGTGTGTGTGTGTGTGTTCTTTGATCATAAATATATACACAAATATATATATATATA